AGAGGCAATGGACATACATCTTAGAGATATATTTGTACAGACCATCAAAGGTCGGTTGACATGATATTACATAAACTGCTGGTATTAAAGTTGGTAAATATGTACAGACAACAATCCACACTGGGTTGCTATAGGAATATCTTTGTACAACAGTACAAGTTAGGCCCGTTTTATACGTCGAATTTCGGTCGCGTCGAATGCAATTCAGACAATAGATAATGAAGCTTAATGTGGTTTATCATCTCATTATCTATTGTCTTAATTGCATACGACACGACCAAAATTCGACGTATAAAACGGGCCTTAGATACTTTTTCATTCGTATAGAATTATGTGTTCCAATGCGATACTGTACGATACTGCTCAATTGATATTCCCATAATAACAATATTATAATAAACTATCACTGTGATTATTTATACCTTGAAGTACGATGTTCTATCAAGCTCAAACAGATTTTTTACTCCACTTGTTTATATGAAGAGTTGTATACTTGTAGGGTAAAATAATTCGACCAAAACACATTAATTGTTATTTGTGATCAGACTTTCATCTTACCTTGAAAAATATTTTCGATATTAATTTAAAACAGCCAGACGCAAGAAAAATATTTCGATAAACAGCCAGACATATTAAAATTTACGAGGCACATGTCTACAAATTGTAATCGTTCATGGTGGTGTTCGTGAGTCTCAACCTATGGTCTCAACTAGGATATTCGGAAAGTCAAATCGCGATCTGGAGTATGTTATTTTCTAAAATTTCTGTGACGTCAAAATACGTCATAACTGATAATCCGTACGTACATGCAAAATCGAGTTCTCGTTCGGCTATACATAACTCGGCCAAAGAGACTGGACACAAGTAATCGCAATACTTCATGTTAAGAATAGGGTGCTGCCTTCGGCAGCAATAAAGTATAAATAATAAACTAGGCTTAAGTCAATAGGTTTATCACATTCTATGATATACTCTATAGAATATCCTATACTATTTCATTATAGAAAATATTCTATAGAATATGCTATTGGATGTTTCATTTGAATGTGCAATAGAATATTCTATAGGATCTGGAAGTTCTATAGAATATGGCAATAGAATATTCTATAGGATCGCAAGTTCTATAGAATATTCTATAGGATATAGAATATTCTATACCATATTCTATAGGATTCTATAGAACATTTTCGTAAGGGACGTTTCTTCAAGTATAGACAGGAGCTAGTATAAAAACATTGTTGATTTATTTATTAACTTGCCACATTGATAGCAAGAAAGTAGTCCTTGTAGGGTACGTCTCTCTCTTGGTTTAACTTGACTATGCGCAGCATATTTCTGTACCAGATATAGAGCTTTAAAAAAAGAAAGTTTTGATATTCCATATAGGAGACCATAGATGCAATGGGTTTTATTACAGAGTTACATTGTATACAATTTAAACAATTTTGTGCATAAAGATTACTTTACACGACTGGTGAGTGCATACGGTTTTTTATAAGCACTGGGCCCACGGTCGTTGGCTATCGGTATCCCTTTTATTCTTCATTTTTACCATCATTCTCGACGTTTTGAGCAAAGACCCTTCGTCATGGACAGTTAGTAGGAAGGTTCATCAAAACGTCGGGAACAATTCTACTCTGTTATAGGCTTTCGTGTTTGCTACAATCGAGTTATGCGGCATAAATACAGAGTATAATACATGGTTCATTTGATGTTTTATGTTACATAATTATAAATGCAATTTATAAAAAACTAAAATATCATTTGAGGTTAATAAAAATGCCAATACGATAATTTCTCACTAGTGAGAAAAACTGTACGGCCAATCGAAACTATAGAAATATCATATAAATACGCTTAAAATTGTAAAGAAAAAATGCTATTTTTTTGTGCGCAGTCTGCTTACTCAAGCGTGTGAAACTTCATCAATCAAAATACGACTCAAATATCGGGATTTGTCATCATTTAACAGGATTATATTGTTTATTTTTTTGCCATGGCAACACACAAGCGATGTTCACAAGATGTCTGCTCGTTTTTATTTAATTTTTCTCGGGTCGCGATGGATATTTTGACATATTGTGGAAAAAACCAAGCAAATTAAGGACCTCAAGAGGAAGGTAGGCTTATGTATAAATATTTTTGTGTAACAGTCGATTTTATTATGATGATTTGTCTTGGATCAAATGTGCTATAATGTAGAGCTGTTTGTTATGTTTGATATATTTGGTGATCAATCAATAGTTACCTCTACTCTTGTCTTATTGAATTAATTCCAGCCTTGACAAGTAATATATTAATAGAGCTTGCAATCAATGACAGATAGAAATTTTTATTATATAGTAGAGAGTGAGATACTGAAAAATACACAGTGAAATATTTTCCATATCTTCACTAGTGAAGATATCGATCACGTATTTACGTTTTAGTATTTATACAATTTTTTGCTTGGGACTATATAATGAACAGAACATTACATGTTGGCTTGAAGATACGACTTTTATCTTCTCGTGTTAAAAACAATATTTTACTCACTCGCTGTGCTCGTTCGTAAAATATTGTTTTCACCACTTGAAGATAAAATATCATATCTTCGTGCCGCCATGTAATATCCTCTATATATTATTGCATGTTCTTTAATAGAATACTCACCGCCTTAGTAGGTATAGTTATAATAGATATAATTAGCTTACAGTAATTAATGTTTATTTCCCAAACTTAACAAATGGCCAATCAGATGCAAGATTCAAATTCTGAACCTAATCAAGTGTGGAAGTGGGATTTGCAATCGATGTGACCAGAGGCTCTCTGCTCTCACCTCTCATTTCATTCGCCTCGCAAAGAGCCTCTGGAACCAGGGTATTCATTTATTGGTTTTGGTCAGTTTGGATGAGTCTTAGTGGGGCTAAAATCACCAGGAAGTTGGCATAGTTGAACTACTACCCCCCCCCCTTCAGAGTCTACTGCCCTGAAACGGTGGATTACGGCCCCAACTGTGTGCCACCATATACAAAATGGCCGAACAAGTATTGGGGAAGATAATTTTTCACCCAACTGGGAACTTATGCTTTGCTTATGGCTGTCCGAGCCAGCAACAACCACAACAACAACAACAAAGCAGAAATGCAAGACGTTGACTAAACAAAAGGCGAAAGCGCCAGTGCCAAGCTGCCACTGCCATGAATGCAGGCAAGGACCGACTGAGAGATGGCAAAGGTCGTCAAGTAAGTACTTACAACATGGCGGTATGACATCAAATAGTGGGCTCCGTAATTTTCCTATGTTTTTGCCAACTAATATTGCGAAGTGGTACTTGGAGTATTGGGGAAAGTTTTACTTATTCTGCTGTACCTCGGGACTGTATTTTTGGAAGCTGTGGTGTACTGTACTGCTGTGCTAGAAATTGTGGGGTTGGATTCTGGTCGAGAAGTGCTTCCCCTCGGTGACGGAAAGGAAATTTGTTCGACACAGGACACAGTTTGCTTTATCTCGGCCGTCGAAGTGGGGTTCAAATTGATGAAGGTGCTTTCGTTATGGCTGGAGTGTTCAGAACTCATGTATTTGGGAATTGGGATGGCTTCGCTTTGTGAAACTTGCAAGAATTGATTAAATTATATTGTGGTTGTGAAATAATTTGCTTCAGCGATGAAGAACCAATTTACATAAAAAACACTTATGAATGATAAGGTCTCTGATTATAAACAAATACCTTTGTTTTCCCTTAGAAAGTGGAAATACTTGACAGAGGTAAAAAGGCTTAAACGATCAAAACTTTCAGTTCCTTATTATTCAAATTCTGTCGCAACAAATCGAATAATCTTGCAAGATGGTGATGTTGAGGTCAATCCTGGGCCTAATGGTCTGAACTCTCTATTGGTGAAAAGGGAAATTGTCCAAGGGAGCATCCTACAAATAATAACATTCAATCCATTGTCACACAACGCTATAATAATCAGTATCAGCATCATAACCTTGAGAACCTGACCTTTATTCTGTGTTTGAATGAAAATAAGCCCACGGTGCTGACATCTCTGTCTCTTGAAAGCATAGTCTTTAAGGAATAAATCTGCAGCCTTTTATGATTATTTCTGTGATTATAAAGCAGACTTTTATGCAATTACAGAAACATGGTTGAATTTGAATGATGACGCTGTACAAGTGGAACTTTGTCCTCCTGGATATCATTTAGTTGACCAGTCATGCACAAGTAGACCAGGGGTGGAATCGCTTTGCTGTACCGCGATTTTCTGTCTGTCACTAAAGTTGATGGAGGTGGAAAAGAATCATTTGAGTATTGTGAGTGGATTGTTCAATTTACATCATCGCAGTATATGTGAATTATTGTTCTCTACCGAACACCATATTCTGAAAAGCACAGGGTCACCATCAGTACCTTTTTCACAGAATTTTCGAATTATTTGGAGACTGTGGTAATGTCAAAAGAACTGTTACTTATATTGGGAGATTTTAACATCATGTTGATGTTGCTGATAACCTTGACTCTATCAAGTTTCTGGATATGTTGGAATCGGTTGGTCTTCAGCAACACGTTAAACACCCCACACATTTAGGTGGGCATACTTTGGATTTGATCATTACTCGGCAAGTTGATAGAATAATATCAGTGGAACCAAGGGCAGATCAATTCCTATCAGATCATTCATCAACTTTGTGCTTCCTTCATTTTGAGAAACCGCATATTACTTTAAAGGCTGTGACATATAGAAAATGAAAATCGGTAAATATTGAAAATTTGAACTGTGCAAAAATCCTCCTGAGGACTTAGATAATCTGGTTGCTTGTTATCAAGAGACATTAAAAACAGCACTGGATAGACATGCTCCTCTGAGGACTAAATCTGTCACTGCCAGATCATGTGTTCCCTGGTTCAATGATAAGATTAGAGAAGCAAAACGTCATAGGAGAAAAAATGGAGAACTTCTAAACTTGACATAGACTTTGTAGTTTTCAAGAGGAAAAGAAACGGAGCCACCAATCTTATGAAGCAAGCCCGACAGGAGTTTTATGCCAATGTTATCGAAGAGAACAAAGATAGCCAGGGAAAGTTATTTAAAATTTGCAAGCACCTATCGAATCATTCCAATGTTCCGACATTTCCACCCAATATTGATAATGCATTGTTTGCTAATGGTATCGATAACTATTTCGTACAGAAGACAGCTAGAAACAGGCGAAATTTGGATGACGTTGACAGCTGCAGTAACGATAATCATGTGCTTGGTCAAACTGGGCATGCACAGAATACTCCCTTGATAAACGAGTTCAAGGAACTGTCCACCTCTGACGTTGCAGCTTTGACAAAATCTTCATTAAAGACATGCTCGCTCGACCCAATGCTATCTATATTAGTGAGCCATTGTGATGCCCTAATTCCCATAATTATGCAAATCATTAACACTTCGTTGCAACTAGCTAGTTTTCCTGTGGAGTGGAAAGAGGCACTGGTTTTACCATTATCGAAGAAATGTGGCTTGCAGTTAATTTTTAAAAATTTAGACCTGCAAGTAATTTGTTATTTGTGTCTAAGCTGACGGAAAGGGCTGTCTTTGATCAAATACGCGTTCATATGTCCATCAATAACCTTTATCCCAGTGCCAGTCCTCCTACCGAAAACACCATAGTGTGGAAACTGTGCTGCTTAAAATCAACAATGATCTTCTACTTAATATGAATAAACAACATGTGACACTGTTAGTCCTTTTGGATCTCAGCACAGCATTCGACACAGGGTTATTCGATCATGCTCAAGAGTCACCTATCAGGAATCTTGGGGCATGGTTTGAAAGCACATTATCTATGGATAGGCAGACGACCAAAACTAGTTCTACCACGTTTTATTATCTATACAACATCAAGCGGATTAGAAAATTCCTGTCAAGAGCTGACACCGAGACCCTCATTCAGGCTTTGTCATCACCTCATTCAGACATATCTTGTCACCTGAAATACTGTAACAGTCTATTATACAGACTGCCTGCTTACCAGCTGGCTAAATTGCAACGAGTTCAAAATGCGGCTGCATGTCTTATTTTCGAAGAAACAAAATTTTGTCACATTACCCTGCTGTTAAGTGCATTACACTGGCTTCCAATCAAGTGCTGTATGGAGTTCAAGGTGTTGCTCTTGACATACAAAACCATTCATGGCCAGGCGCCTATATATCTACAAGAGCTCCTCACAATGAAACATAGCAAGCGATATAACTTGCAGACTAACAACAGCTTGATGTTGGACTTTCCATCGGCGCGGTCCTATGCCACATTGGGTGATAGGGCTTTTGTATATGGAGCACCCAAGTTATAGAACGCTTTACCTGGTCTGCTGTGGATGAGCGCCTCCATTTGTGATGATGACGTTAACGTCACATACCGTATATCGACAACAATGCTTTGTGAGGACATAAGCTAGACGGCATGGTGAACAGTGCTTGGCGAGCTTGATATTATTGTATTTGAAAAACAACTTATAATTAATAAAGCTTGGATATTATTACATTTGGCGATGAGGATTTTAAATATTGTTTACTATGGCTGCAAGAGTAGACCTTCCGTCGATGCCACCGTTTGATACTCATGTAGGTTACAGCAGTTTAGCGACACGATGGGAACAGTGGCTTAAACGATTTCACCTTTATCTTCGAGCGGGAAAAATCACCGATAAAACACAACAACAAGCCCTTCTATACATCGCTGGGCCCCAAGTACAAACAATATTTGAAACGTTAGCTAATAGGAGGTGACGATGACTTCAAAACAGCGGTTCAAAAACTGACAGAATATTTCATGCCAAAGAAAAACCTCGAGTATGAGATTTATATATTTCGCCAAGCCCGACAAATGACTGACGAAACATTGGATCAGTACCACACACGCCTTCGAAAGTTTGCTACAACATGCAGTTTACCGATGCTGATCGAGAAATTAAAACAAATAATACAAAGCTGCATTTCTACGCATCTTTGGAGAAAAGCACTTCGTGATTCAACGCTTACTCTGAGTGCCTTACTCGCTGAAGGTCGTTCCTTGGAAGTAAGTGAAAAACAAGCTAAAGGCATCGAGAAATCCCTCGCAGCCATCAAGATCGACAAAAAACTCCCTACTGAAATCGACGATAGTGTGAATGTCATTCAACATCAATAACGCCAACAACCGCCGTACGCTCATCGGGAAACAGTGAAACGCAAGTGTTATTATTGCTGGTTAGATTATCCCCACAAGAACAATAGCTGCCCAGCTTATAGCATAAGATGAATCATTTTGCAAAGGTTTGCAAAAGTAGTCAAAATCGAGATCAAAATAAATTTCCTCGACAGCCTCGCTCATCACGCCAATTCAACAACTCGTCAATTAACACTGTTAATAGACAGCACACTGACGATGAAAGCAACTCATCCTCGGAAGATGAATACATCTACATGGTGAACACAAGCTCAGTAGTTGCGTCCAAGGACAATTTGACTTCCAAATTAAAGATCAATCGAACGAATTTTCGAGCACTCATCGACACCGGGGCGTCTATCAACATTATAGACGAGCCGACATTTCAACACTTATGTAAACAAAGACCTATTAAAATACATCGTTCAAAAGCACGAATATATGCGTATGCTGCACAATCGCTGCTTCCTATGCTGGGAGTATTCGAAGAAATCATCGAGTCGAAGACAAAGATGACAACCGCCAAATTTCACGTCGCAAAAGGGGACAATGGCAACTTGCTTTGCTCAGAAACTGCAAAACAACTACAAAAGTAAACACAACTGTGAAAGTGCCAAACGAATTCACACCTGAGGCAGAAGCCACTGAATTCATTCAAAGTCTGACAAATGAGTACGAGGACTTATTCAGAGGAATTGGGTGCCTGAAAAACATAGACCCTAACATAGCTATACATAGACCCTAACATCAAGCCAGTTGCGCAACCAGAAAGGCGTATACCATTTCACATCCGGGAGAAAGTAACTCACGAACTGGACAAGTTAACAAAGCAAGGTATCATTGAGCCCTGCTCTGGCCCAACTCCTTGGATCTCGCCCCTATTTGTAGTACCACAACCGAAGAACCCAGAAGAAACAAGAATATGTGTTGACATGCGTATGCCCAATACAGCGATAATCTGTGAGCGCCATCCCATGCCTACTGCTGACGAACTTATCCACAAGCTAAATGGCGCAAAAGTCTTCTCAAAACTCGATCTTTGCCACAGATATCACCAAATTCTCTTAGCTCCTGAGTCTCGTTACATTACGACCTTTCGTACCCATAAAGGACTGCACCGCTATGTACGACTTAACTATGGCACATCAGCAGCCTCAGAAGTTTTCCAGTATGCTATAAGCCAAGCCATTGCTGGCATTGACGGAGTTGTCAACATCAGTGAAGATGTACTCATATTCGGTAAAACACAGCTTGATCATGACACAGCCCTTAAAACTGTATTTGAACGATTGCGACAAGTCGACCTCACCCTCAACAAATCGAAATGTGCTTATAACAAGGGTACATTGGAGTTCTTTGGTATGATTTTCTCTGCAGATGGCGTCAGCCCGGACCCAAAGAAAATAGAAGCTATCGTCAATGCTCCCCGTCCAACCAATGTGAGTGGAGTCCACAGCCTGCTGGGTATGACAAATTACTGTTCAAAGTTTATTGCAAACTATGCAAGCATTACAACGCCCCTTCAACAACTCACAAAGAAAAATGCGAAGTTCCAGTGGCTACCAGTCCATGAAAATGCCTGGAAAACACTCATATTTATAGATATGGAACAGAATTTGTCCTGTATACAGATCATAAACCATTAGAGTTGATCTGCAATAACCCCAAATCCAAACCTCCTGCACGGATCAAGCGATGGTTCCTACGTCTTCACAAATACCGTTTTCGAGTCCAATATAGCCCCGGGAAGGACAATCCCTCAGATTATATGTCTCGACACCCCCTGAACACAAGTGCAAAACATTGTCAAGGCGAGTTAGCAGAAGAGTACATCACCTTCATTGCACAGCACACTACTCCAAAGTCCATCAGCCTGGAAGAAATTAAACAGCATGACCATCTTGATGATCATCAGATGACCATCTTGATGATCAACCGTCAGATGAAGAAGAGGATGAGATAGTAAGAAACGAACAGGATCAAGAAAACGAAGAGGATGAAAGAAGGTACCCTGCAAGGGATAGACAACGAACAAACTTTTATCATGATCCGGACTCGGCAATTCTCAGTCATTAACTTATTAACTGGTAAATAGGGTCCAGGTACTATTAAAAAAAATTTTGAGTTATAGTTTTGCATGTTCTGAAGTTAGAAAGTATTAAATGTGAAGGTAGGGAGGAGTGTGATGATGACGTTGACGTCACATACCGTATATAGACAACAATGCTTTGCGAGGACATAAGCTAGACGGCATGGCGAACAGTGCATGGCGAGCTTGATATTATTGTATTTGAAAAACAACTTATAGTTAATAAAGCTTGGATATTACACCATTGACATTTTTAAAAAGTCTTTGAAGACATTTTTATTTGAGAAAGCTTTTGCTTGAAGTTTAGATCATAGATTACGTTGATATATATTATAGATTAGTATTTTTAGAATATATATATAATGTTGTTCTTTTAATTCTTGTAATGATCATTTGAAAATGTACTTCCATTGATTTATGCGCAATATAAATTTTATAGTAATAATAACAACTGCCTATTCATAGAATCACATGTACAGTATTTTTAGATATACATTTTATTAATCACTTTAGAGAGGGTTATTAAAAGATGAAAAGATAAAGCTCCCTTGCAATGCTAACATAAGGAATCCTTCCACTTCATGCTCATCCAACAGTGAAAAACTCAACTTACCTGATAGTGTTGCTCGGAAACGGAGAAAATTGATGTTGGAGCATGCAGAGCAAATGAATTCTAGACCTGCAGAAGATGCAAACCATAGAAAAAAGTGTGCACTAGATGGTATGTGGAGCACTTTAGTCAATTCCGCTAATGTGCATGACATAAAAGCATACATGGAAGTCACCAAAGGTTATGACAGAAATAATTCCCTCAATTGTGAACAATGTGGTTAGAAAATATGAGCACAGTCAGACTAACCTGGTCTGATCAGCTGGTGTTTTATATGAAGGAGGTATAAGTAGTAAGAAACAATATAACTGAAAGCACAGTCAAGAAATCTTTCAAGTTGACAAGCATGGTAAGAAGCACCAGACAACCTTCATGCACCCAAGTTGATGGATTACAAACGGGTAATGCAGTTTGTCGAATCTGTATATCATCGCCAGAAATCGCGGACATTGAACTGGGGGATATCGGTTTGCATTGTTGTCCCTTATTATCCTCCACTATACCTTTTATTCACTCTTCGAAAATTCAAAATGGCGTCTCGTCGAAAGAGTGTTCCAGTATTAAATTATAACGAATTAAACAATTTATCTTCTGAAATTATTTTTAAAACTGGAAGGAAACCCAAAGGAAAGTTCTTTTCTGTGGAAAGAATAATTTCTCGGAGAAAGGTTGCGCATGTAAGTTAATTTTTGGAAGTTTAATGCAGTTATTGATTTTGTCACTCATTTTCGATTACATCTGAAATATATAAATGAATTTATTGAATTGTAATTTTATAATAATTAAACCCTTGCTTCGTTTATAATTTAGAGTTGGGAATATTTGGTGAAATGGACCGGATGGCCACTTGAAACATGCAACTGGGAGCCCTTTGATCATTTAACTCCAACACTTTTAAGGTATTAAAGGCACTTTATACACTATTTCTTTAAATTGTTATAATTCGTCCTGTCTAAAGACCGATAACGGCTAAAGGCTTTTCGTCGAACTTTTTACTCAGGAACATGCACAGTTTCTTACCCTTTCTATCTGTCTCCAAAGTGCGTTTTGTGTAAAGTCAACTGCAAATTTATGTTTTTACAGGAGCTATGATCATCCTCCAAAACCAGAACAAAAAAGAATAGAGCAGAGCAGCAGGAATTTCTTTGAAGCAATTTCAAAATGCCTGAAATCTAAGTCAGTTCTATCGACAGATGCTAATATTGATTTGGATGTTCAAAGGTGGATGTGGCAAGGAAAAGGAATTGCATCAGAGCATAAAGGCTACAAATTGTATAATTTACATGATTTCTGCAATTTGGATTTACCAGAGACATGGTGGTATTACCTCGACCATCACGGAGAAGGAAAAGCCTTAAATTTTCGTATTAAAATGAAATCTATATTATCTTGGACTCCAAAACGTTTCATTTTTGAGGATGGACAGTTGAAGCAGGCAAAGAGACTTCCTATTATAAGGGTTAAGATTCATTTTTGCAAACGAGCATGTAATGTTGAAACTTTGTGAAATGCTATTGTTGGGAACAGTCTAAATATAAGAGTAAAATTAGAATAATAGCAGACAGGACCCCTTTTGGGAAACACATAACTAAGCCACTGCTTGGCTTATCTCGTTTTTAAATGTAGGGGATAGGATTGCCAGCCACAGCGAAAATCACTTGATATGTGGTGCAAATTGCTCTGAAGAGCACCCATCAATGGTTCAGTATGCCAAAGATATTAGGAAAGATATTGAGAGTATTGAAAAAAAATCCTACTTTATTGAAGGGGAAAATGTCACGTTTTCATTCGAATTAATTCCAGCAGACATGAGGTGGCTGGCATTTATTTCTGGGGAACTCCCAAATTAGGCAACATATTTTTCATCGTTTTTGTTTGTGGAAACACCACGTAAATTTATTACTGCAAAGCTTTCGATCCGTAAGCCCGGATCTTCATCAGTGCTAATAATATGTGACTTGTTTAATTCACACGCTCCATAGATAATGCTATGAAAACATTGAAAACATTTCATATCTATCATGAAAACATTTTCTATCTATCATGAAAACATTTCATAGATAATGCTATGAAAACGCCACAAAGTATACAGCAGAAGATTGAATATCAGTCGTCTGTTTGTCTACCATACATTGGTCCGGCTTCACACAAAATCGAAAGAATTTTGAGGAATGAAGCAGGTATAAAGGTATACCATTCCAGCGAAAACAAATTGTTTCGAGCTCTATGCACACATAAGGACAACGTAAATGAATCTCAGAAACCTGGTGTGTACCGCATTCCTTGTGAATGTGGTCTGGTTTACATTGGTGAAACTGGTCGAAATCTCTCAGTACGTCTTAAGGAACACAAGACGAATTGCGAGAAAGCCGAGCAAGATAAATCTGCTGTGGCTAAACATACTGTACTTGGACTTACGACCATCGTATAAAATGGGACGAAGCAACCATTTTGGCGATTGATAGTCATAAGTTCTCTCGCAAAATGAGAGAGTCAATTGAAATCGAGAAGCACAATAATATAGATCAGGAGGGAAAGCCACTAGATAGTACGTGGCGTGCTCTCTTTAATGTGCAAAATTAATTTCTCTTGTCTTGGATGCGCACGCGTTAATTGGAATCACTTCATTACGTTTGAAATGACGTGGTTGATGTGCCGTTTAATTAAATTTCAAATGGCGCGAGCCAACAGATCACGACACTCTTGTATATAAAAGGAGCGTGTGAATTAAACAAGTCGCATATTATTAGCACTGATGAAGATCCGGGCTTACGGATCGAAAGCTTTGCAGTAATAAATTTACGTGGTGTTTCCACAAACAAAAACAATTATATTTTATCACCATGCAAACATTCAAAGAACTTATATTTTTCATCCTTTGAAAATTTCAGAAAATGCAGTAATGGGTGACACCTTTGGAGGGCAGGATGGCCATTTTAAACCTTGGAGTTATCAAATTGAAAATGCCTGTGTATTCACAAAAACAAAGAAATATACATCAATAGTTTGGACTAAAATTCAACACAGTTTAACTCGAGAACTGCCTTATATAATCAGCGATAATAACATAATGTATTATATAGTAGAGTGTGAGATACTGAGAAATACACAGTAACATATTTTCCATATCTTTACTAGTGAAGATATCGATCATGTGACTTTTTATCATTTATAGACCCGGAGCGAGGGGGAATCGGCGTAATATTTCCCGAAGTGATGATCATCACTGAGGGAAATATCGCCGAATCCCCCGAGCGGAGGGTAACCGAAAGTTAAAGAACTCACTAAGAGTCTATCAAGTTCAGAATAATGCATGAGTCAATTCCAGGAGTAACCATCCCCGGGAACACACCCGGGAATTTGATTAGATTGGTTATGACAGTGTAAATGCCCGGGTGCCGGGACACAACTTAATAATGCACGGCTAATGGAGAAGACTAATGCACGGCCCCAGGGCAAGCTGAGAGTGGAAAATGCCCCACCCCGGGGACGATTTTACAGTGGATTCCGCGAAACTTTGACCACAAATGTTCCGAATTTCGTTGCGAAGTTCGCAAGTTCGTTGTGAAGTTCGGAAGCTCATATTGGAATTCACAAGCCAATTTGTAAACAAAGTCCCTGATTGATCCGTGAAGAAAAATAAGCCAATCAAATGCGTAGTTTACGAACTGGTTTGTGAATCTCATTATGAACTTTTGAACTTCACAACAATCTTGTGAACTTCGCAACGAAGTTCGGAAATTTTGTGGTCAAAGTTTCGTGAAATCGACTGTAAATGTTAATTAAACTTTTAAAGGCATATAATCATAGTCATTTAATAACATTATAGTATTAAACTGCTATGGAATATTATAAAACATAAACCTTTAGTAGTTGTATTTAAATTTGCATGGCAGAGGGTATAATTTTCGCTTATTCTTACAATAAATTTCACGCCACCTTGACCACGAGGGCGCAAACCACGATCAGCGCACCCACATGCTTGCCTGAAACTAGGTTTTGCTGCCTTAAAATTTGTGGGTGGGATTCTGGACAACCATTTGTCAAATCCCCGGGGTCCTCCAATACCCGGCCCCCGTGCACATATATGAAAGGCAAATTCCCGACCCCCGTGAACTGTCTATCGGGCAAATGCCCGGGGGTGTCCCGGGGGGGGGGGATGGTTACTCCAGGAATTGACTCATGCATAAACTTTAAAACTTGCTGAATATTATTAACTACGCGAATACAATTTTTAATTTCTTATCTATACCTGAGTTTTTGACGTTTTCTCCTTAAAATATTTGAGCAAGTATCCTTTGGATCGTTGAAAGTAACATACGTGTTGAAATATTTGGTTTACTTAATATTAAAATCCTCTGTAGTTCTGTACGAGCTCACGAACGCCATATTGTTTCAGAATTCAGAGCGTGGTGTCCACGCGTCACGTGTGAGCGTGGGATACTATAATATCCGGTGGATCTGCCGTGGGATATTATAGTATCCCAATGCTGGATTGCGAAATCATGAATTTGAGTGAAATACCGTAAAAAATCACACTACCACGTGGTACAAATACTGTTTTTTCATTGGACAATTTGAATTTGAGGTATAATATTAGTATTTATACAATTTTTCGCTTGGGACTATATAATAAACAGTACATTACACGGTGGCTTGAAGATACGACTTTCATCTTTCATTGTTTTCACCACTCGAAGATAAAAGTCATATCTTCGCGCCGCCATGTAATATCCTCTATATGTGTGACAGGCTGACAGTTACATATATTGCATATAAAATATACATTGCAATACTTAGATTTTAAAGCAAATAATAACCAAAAAGTATCTATCTGCTGAACATTATGATCGTGTGGGCCCTGCACAAAAACAGGGAATAAAACATTTGAAAAGAGTAAGCCCAGGGCCTGTGGCATATGGTTAATCCGGCACTGACTCCTTCCATAATAATCATAACCCATAAATTAGCAAAACATTAGAGTGGTCCCTTTCAAGAGGCATGCCACCCCTGTAACCCCGAACAAAAATAAGCTATAAATCCCACTGAACTGAAACACAATGCCAAAATTTTTGTAATATTTACAACTTTTGTAATATTTACAACTGAGGTATGCCATGAGAGTTCCAAAATCCAAAATGACATGCAACTTTCAGTTGTTCATTTCTCTTTTTATAAAATAACTGAAATGCTTTTTCCTCCGATGTAATGACTTCTGCTGTTCCTAAGTTCCTAAAGTCCTTTTTTAAATTACCAATGATACCACAATACTTAAATATATACATGACCTTGCGAATGTCAGTAAGTTCGATGCTGATATCTTTGTCAGTCTGAACCACTGTAGTTGCATAGCTGGTATTTGCAGTACAAACCTCCACAATATGTTCAAAAACCTTGCACGGTACATCCCTTACCAACACAATCGTACAACTTGTCTTAGCAAATGCTGTTCATCTTAGTCTTTCAATAATTTGTGGGTGCCAGATAGAAATCTCATGGACTGCGAAAGGATGAATCTCGACAACACAATGCTGTAATTTTGTAAACTCGTCATTTGATTCTACTCCGCCACACAAGCCATCTGCAATCCTTGAAAGGCTTTCGAACATCTTGAGAGTTTCCACATACTTTGGAGACCCAATGCCTAAATCTCTTGGGTACTTTTGTTTAACATTATCGATTCCTTTCTTCACAAAAGAACTCAACGTTGATTTACTTCGCCCAGAGCATGCTGCCATCTTGGATATTTAATTATGCTAAATTATAATTTAGCTCAATTTTAAAAACGGCCTTGTTTTCGTGTATGAGCATTTTCGTGGAATAAATCCCCAACATAAAGTTCAAATTTTTACAGAAACAAAGACAAAATGTAATGTCATATTAATTAACAAATATCACCATACCTTTGGGAAAGCGTGTTCTTAGAATTGTAAAGGGAATATTTGGTGATTCGTGATCTCGCATTATCTTAAATCCATAGCAAATACCTAGAGTAGATAAATGAAAAACACATGACATCTACATCTCCTGCAGCATATCAATATCAGGTTATGAGTTGAAGATCTTACTCTGGATTCATGATGTTCCCAACAAACCGATTTTCGAGGTTATCTTGTACATTCTTGGTCATCGTTCCGAAGGCACCTATGATGACTGACAGGATAAATACCTTGGTCACTTCCCCTTTCCACATCTCTGATAACTCATACTTGAAGTCAGTACATTTCTCTATCTTTGTTATTTCCTCAGTATTCTTATTATACCTCTGCCAGGAAAATATGTTTTTACCAGCGTTTGTGTCTATTTTTTGAAAGTTTTTAGGGCAAATTTAATAATAGGCCAAGGATAAAACGATCACATTTTGTTGCAATTTGGACGAAAACTGAATGAGAAATGTATAAAAAATTGTCTTCTCTGCCAGCTGGAGAATGTAGTTATTTACTATTTTCACTCATTTCCGTTATACTATGCACCTATATAGTTTCATCAGGGCTTGATAACCGCTAA